ATATATATATCAGTGCTGATTAATTGTTAAAAATATATCGAATGTGCAGATGATGTGAAAGAATATTTGCTATCTGAATAGTCGATGCGGACAATTTCCACCAAGATCACTGATGCACTGTTGTATATTATTGCTATTTAATTCAGCTTGGATTGTACTGTTAAAATTAGTGATGACTTAAGTTTTCATCAGAATGTTAACTTTGAGGTCTTGGCATTGGTGCTGGAATTGAAGAGCTAATTTGGGGTGTGTTACACTTTTAACACTTTAAAATATTTCTGCATGAGGCCAAGAAAGTCGTGAATCCCCTGTTTGAGAAGAGGCCCAAGAACTTTGGCATTGGTGAGTAACAACTGGACCACAGATGAGGTCAGTCATTTAAAGTGTAGCTGTCAAATAAGTGCAGATGATGTTATAAATATTTGCTATCTTAACAGCAATGCAGACAATCTTCCACCAAGATCGCTGATGCACATATGTCTTGAAAGCAACTGACAGTTTGTTGACCCTAATGCTAATGAAAGTCATGCACTTTAATCTTCAGGTCAGGACATCCAGCCGAAGCGGGATCTGACCCGATTCGTGAAATGGCCACGTTACGTCCGGCTGCAACGCCAGCGGGCCATCCTCTACAAGCGTCTGAAGGTTCCCCCTGCGATCAACCAGTTCACCCAGGCTCTGGACCGCCAGACCGGTGAGTTATTTGCTTGACTGGAGTCTCCTACATCTTTCTGCTGTTGTTCATACAACGATGCTTGTAGAGGTTGGCGGATAGTGGATTTTATCAATAACCAATCAATTGACAATTGTTTTAAGTCAATAATATGAACGAAAAGTTGCTTGATGTAAGATAGTGCTGTAATTAATTAGAAAATTAACAATAATGACTTAACCATGATATTATTGTATGTCTCGCAGAGGAATTAAATAGTTGTGTTTTGCCATTTAATTCCACAAAGCAAATATAAGCCTCAATCATTGAAAACAATATATTGGTCGACCTCTAAATGCATTTTAGACTTTTGCGAATGTGCAGATGATGTGAAATAATATTTGCTATCTGAAGTCAATGCTGACAATTTCCACCAAGATCACTGATGCACTGTTATATTTATTACTGCACATTATTGCTGTTTAAAATCAACTTGAACTGTACTGTAAAATTACCGATAACCTAAGTTTTCACCAAAGTGTTAACTCTTTAAATTCTTTCTGTAGCTACCCAGCTGTTCAAGCTGGCCCACAAGTACAGGCCCGAGACCAAGCAGGAGAAGAAACAGAGACTGCTGGCTCGTGCTGAACAGAAGGCTGCTGGAAAGGGAGACGTGCCCACTAAGAGGCCACCAGTCCTCCGTGCAGGTGGGTCTTTTTAAAGTGTCTTTTCTTTGAAGACACTGAAAGGTCCAACTCTTCCTGGAGTTACGAGTTGCCTTCTCCATTGTTCTCAACCTTTTTGACTCTAAGGCCCACCTTTTGTCCAGGACGATATTTGTATATCATGTGGCTTTAATATCTGTTTAACACTTTTGTTCATTCTCAGGTGTGAACACAGTGACCACACTAGTGGAGAGCAAGAAGGCACAGCTGGTCGTTATTTCTCACGATGTGGATCCCATTGAGGTGAGTTTTTCTACAGGATATAGACATCTTGTCATAAATCTTGTTGTGGTTGTCTGCAATGATGTCTTGAATTTCTTCACCTGAATTCAAACTGAAGATCAAAAATACGAGCTTTTTAACCCTGAGCAACAACCACTTACTGGAGCATTTCTCTAACTATTTTCAGAATTTCCTGCTTTGGTTTGTGTAGTTTTATCAGACTGCTGAATGTTGCGATGGATGTCTGTATATAATTGATTTAATTTGCTCTATTTGTAGCTGGTGGTGTTCTTGCCTGCTCTGTGCCGTAAGATGGGAGTCCCGTACTGCATCGTCAAGGGCAAGGCCAGACTGGGCAAACTGGTGCACAGAAAGACCTGCACCTCTGTTGCCTTCACACAGACCAACCCGTGAGTAACACACACACTCATGTTTCACTTTCCTGTGCTGCACTTCCTATGGCTATGATGTCTGAATTTCTTCAACTGAACAACCATGTGGTTTCAAATGAGCTTTTTAACCCTGAGCAAAATGATTTGCAGTTGATTCGTAATTTGGCCATTATAGAGACAAGACCTTTTGTGGTTAACATTGTTTTTGTTCACC